GGCGGTGATTTGCAAAAAGAAACAGAAAACAAAGAGTGCAAATGGGAAGAGATGACAATGGAAAAGGATGCCTCTTCGCACATGTTACTTTCGTTGGTATGGCAGTATTTATCGATTACTGTACAATTAAAAAACAGGGTTGTCTTTTTTCAATTGAAATTACAACTGCTTATAAATCCTCTGGTGAGCATATGGGAAGAAATTCGACCCTGGTGAAGTGGAAATCCCACTTCCCCCATCATGTTGTCCGAGATAATTACGTTGCAGTCGAAAATGGGACAGAACATCACAGTGAAACAATTGTACCTCGATATTAAAAGAGTTTCTTTACCCTTGATTATAGGCCTTGAGCAAACTGCTGGCAATGAAGCGCAGTGTGGAGAGAGAAACTGCGCAGACTGGACTGCGCCCTGAGAATGTCAACAAGAATCGATTCTCTGATTTCCCTGCAAGTGAGTGCGCATATTGGCATTAATACTTTCGATGGGTCTCTGTAGCTTGTTGGTTTTGACGCTGTTTGCATCACATTTTTACCCTTTGGACAGTGTTTTTTTTTCTGTAACTTTTCCATTGTACGGGCCTTCAACTTTTTGCCATCGAAACCTCTGATTATCAAAATGTTGCTATCAAGAAGAAATTTTTGGTGTAATTCAAGTGAAGGGACTGAAAGAGGTAACTTCCTTTACGAAATATTAATAATATTTATTGATGCTTATTTGTCAATTTTCAAAATTAAATAAGGGCAACCTAAAACACTTCTTTTTGTCCTCCATACTGTGGATTCTTTATTGTAGTGTAATGAATTAATGATACATTTTTTTCCAGTAAGTCAGATTTGCACAGCTGAATTTGAGGTGAGAAATGTTAATGAGCAATGGTTGATGTTTGTCCTGAGGTTAAATGCATTCTGCTGTGAGGGGAAAGAATCCTCTTTTGCTTAAATATGGTTTTACATACCTTGTGGTATATATGTTTAGGAACGACACACCGTGTTGTTTCAATAAAGTACTTCATACGTGCATTTACTTCGCAAACTATGCCTTCACTTGACCATCGTATCTCATTTTAAGTCAAGAGCTATTTACGTGAACTAGAACAAAGACAATCCTTTATTATTTGTTTACCATCTTATTTGATGATTAGTCGAAAAAAAACTCTTAGAGTGCTTGGGGTAATTAGTGAAACATATTCAGGAAGTACTACAATGATAATGACGTCCGGTTGGGCTTGTTTCCACAGAGCAACGTTCCCGGGCAGTGTTGATGACGAGCGTGTATGAAAATGACACCGATTACATCAACGCACATTTCCTACCGGTAAGTTAGACGATTACTTTAGCTGCAAATACATGTCAGCCAATTGTCGTCCAGAGCTCCGGGATGTTATCAGCATTTTTACCCTTTTACTGCACAAACTTCGTCATAAAGAATAAATTTGTAGACAGTTTCGATGAGGTATTAGAGGTTTCCACAGTGTCAAAACAATCCCACTCCACAAGGCATCAGTTGTACTGTGGCTAAAACATTAGCCCTAGAATGCTGACATCAATTAGCTCCCCAAACTTCAAATTGAAATCCGAGTTTGCATGAAACAAGTGATAGGACAAAGGATCTACCTTGCCATCATTGAAGCCGGGCTCATGTAAGTTCTTCCACAAGTCTGTTATGATTTCGGTTTTACACCTTTAGGAGTTCCTTTACAGAAGCAGTCACTACAAAGAAGCAGGAAGAAAAATGAAAAAGAAATACCTGCAGGAACTTGTGGTGGGCTCGGCTTTTATTTATATAAATTTTCATTCTTAAACAGGGCTACCGCAAGAAGAGCATGTATATCAGTACGCAGATGCCTATGCCAAACACCGTAGCAGATATTTGGCGATTGGTGTATGACTACAAAGTGGGTTGCATTGTCATGTTGAACCCGCTGGATCCAGCCAATGAGGTAAAGTCATATTGCAGATACACGTGTTTGTATTTGTGTTTGACAAGTGCGTCAATAAAAAAGCGAAAACAGTGCTTGATTGAGCTGTTAACTTCGATCCAGACGTATTTGTGAGAAGTAAACTATAAAAGGTTCTGCCTATTTGTTCTTAGGATGTACACTTTCCTGTGAATGGTAAGCAAGGTCGAAAGATTCAAAACTTTTTGAAGTGTAAGCGAGATGACATCAAGACACTGGGAGATTTCAAACAACCTTTTGTTTCTCTTCGCCTAAAGTTTTTCTGGTATTCATTCCTGCTTTTCATAGTTAAGTCCTTTTTGTTTCGCTTTACAGACTATGTGCCAGTACTGGCCAGAGAAAAAGGGTTCGACAGTAGAATTTGGCCCACTTCTTGTCAAGCTAAAAGAGACAAACAAGTATGACAATGTAATACAACGGGTGTTTACTCTGAGAAACAAGGACCTCAAGGTAATCAAAATGCAAGGCATTGTCCAATTCTTTTCCAGAAACCCAGTAGTTTATTATGATGGCCGAATACAGTTTTACTAGCCACTCGCAAAAAGCAATGCGACGGAAACGTTGAGAGAGTAAGTCATGCAGGCTCAGACCGAAGGCCGACATTATGGTGGTTTGGTTTAGATTGAAACCCACACCCCCCGGCCACCTTCCACAATACCGTTGTACTGTGCAGAAAGTATTTTGAATAAAAAAATCTACAGGATACGAATGTTTTATATTCATTGCAAATCAAACGTTTATTAAAATAAAGTTCTATGAGAGATTTTTCCTGCCAACAAACAAGTGTAAACTGCATGTCATTTGAAACGATTCAAAAGGCCAATGGTATCGCCTCAAATGAATAAATCACGTGCACTTTCAACCTCAGCTTGGCAACCAATCGTCTTCAATTCTCACTATAATTGCAGACTGAAGAGGAACCCCGCACTGTCTGCCAGTTTGAGTGTTTAGACTGGCCCTCCAATGAGGACACGCCCACCTCCTTACAAGGAATGTTAACTCTCATGGGACTTACTCAAGAGTGGCTTGACAAGGACACACCTATCGTGGCTCACTGCATGTTAGTAAAGTTGATCTGATAAGAGATTCTTGTGAGAACATGAGACATAATACGAACTTTGTGTAGGAGTTTGCAGCAAGTTTGCATGTTTATATATTGTAACGTTGACCACTTCTGCTGGGTCTGTCCACATTAACAATTGAGACACAATCAGGCCTTCTTGTAGGTTTCTTTGGCTCTCGGCCATTCATTTCAGCAGACGTTTTCTGACATTCACTCCAGAAGAAAAAAAAAACTCTACCAAACAATGTGCTTCTAACAACGCTATTACGCCGGTGCCGCGGTAACGGGTCTCCCAGGCTTACCGGTAGGGGCCCACCACACGGCTCTGCCGCTACAATATATATTTTTTCTATCTAGGGTAACTGAAAACAACGGCTTTGAGGAAAGTCTGTGGAAGAATATCTATGACAATTTATTACTTGCAGTTGATGACAAAGCTAATAGCGTGGGTAGTGAATTTTAAACTCTTTTATTTACAATCAATACATTTTTTCCCAGCAGCGATGGCATGGGTCGCAGTGCAGTCTACTTCGCTCTGATGTCACTTCTGGAACAGTCTAAAGAGGAGAAGGTTGTAGACGTGTTTCAAGCCGTGTTCCGCCTCCGGATGGCACACCAAAACATGATGTACTCAGTGGTAAGTCTGCTGTGTAGATACTGTATCTCAAGAGTATTTATTTTATACTATCCATTTCATATTTCAGCCTGATGTAACTTTTTCACCTTATCAAAAAATTACTCACTGCGTGTCTTCCAAGAACTCTAATGGCATCCGTCCAAATGACTCATGAATACGCATGCCTTTGTAAAGTTGGATGGAATTCAATTCGAACACCTGTTGCTCAAATAAAAAAGGGAAAAAGCTGTCAAACATGCCTCAAGCATATAGAAGGGAACCAGTTTTGATAGCATTCATTCCCAAGAATACCATTTTGTTGTCGCAACTGGGACCACAATACTGTGCAGTTTGGTGCAGTGATATTCACTGGTTTTCAGGATTCGACAAAATATTTTCTCGCGTAACCAAGAATCCTGAGCAGTTCCATATTCAGCTGTTAAACAAATGTTTTCAATGATGTTTAACCACTTGTATATTATGCGATTGGAATGGGATATTTTTTTTTACAGGAGCACTACGCACTGTGCTATGAAGTTCTTCAGTTGTACTTGGATTCCAATGTCACCTATGCCAACCTGTAGAACGCTGACTTGCAGCATGACCTTCACCTCAAATACCATTGGTAACCTGCTGAAAAGGGTTCCAACTTTGTGAAATCCAAAGCTCCGCTTACCGCACAATTTAAAGTAATATTTTCCTATTTCAGTGACTTGGGTCTATTGTGACTCAACCATTCATTCAGTGAATCCAGGTCGTTGCGACAGTAGAACATCTACCGCTGTAAATACCTGTTTTAGCAAAGTTCGCGGTTTTTGCTATTTGGAATTAAATTACAGATTGTTTAAATACGCACGTTAGTATAGTATAACAATTCATTCGGTGACATAATTCATTACACCATCAACCTTATTAGCAAAGTTCGTGCCTTTGGGAGCTTTGATAATCCTGAGGTTCAAATTTTTTAGTTACATCACAAAGACAGGTGTTAATAAATGTCTTTATGATATGTTCGACTTAAAAACTATCCAATGCGCATTAGTTTAGCGCACACGTGAACCTTACATGAACCTTTTGAAAATGCGATTTTGACTTTTCACTTCCCCCTATTTAATAACTCGTTAGATCACTAATGTTAGCAACAGAAGGGACAAAGTTCGATTGTAAGACTATTTTTGGATGTTTTTTCTCTGGAGACCTAGGAAAATCTCCAAGCCTAAGAACAAGGTCAAGTTGGTTACTATTTACCCGGAATGGCAGGGATTTTTCGACGCGAGCCGTTGAATCTTTTGGCCACATGTAAAAAAGAAACAATATCGGGATAGTGGTTTCCCCTTTTAAATTACTCATCTCTAGGCTGTGCAGAGCACATTGTAATGTTTACTCAGAGGTCAGTGTTTCTTAAGACTTAAATACTTTTTTAGTTGGTAATACGCAAGGCTTGAAAGTAAATGTTTTACGTAAACGTAACAAAAGTAACCATTTATGCTGCGTGATTTTTTTTCTCTCCCACGATATTTTATGGTTTTGTGGGAAAAGAATCAAATTGCCTACAGATATTCAGAAGGTTTAGAGTGGCATAACAGTAGAGCTGTCTAGTTTGCATTTTCAACTACATTACCAAATGGCAATGATATACTATATTGAAGTTGATGTTCTTTTTTTTGTTTTGATTTAATGCATTTTCCAATGAAAAGCACCAACGCAGTGAAAAGTCTGTAGTTAGAAATTTAAAAATTCAAATGCATGCAACTGAGGTTCATAACGCATCAAAGACGTAGTTTTAAGTCCACCAAGCTTTTATGCATAGGAAAATATTAAATTCATTAAGTTTTGCTTGTTTTGGGTAGTATTGCCACTTCACCGATTGTTTCAACGAATAAATTTATTTTATTCCCACGGTCAAAATATTTACCACCATGAAGAAATGCTTGTGATCGTGGTTTAGCATGTTGATTTTTGCGCTGTTCCAAATATCAAAGTTTTCGGATTATATTGCAGGTTTAGCTGGTAATAATCGCTTGAATGTGCGTGAAACATATAAAAACATAGATAGAAGTACGATATAAAAGCGACTCAACGTAGCACTGTTCTGCTATCTATGTTTATAGGATCACTGTTGTTGGCAAGGTATGCAGAAACTTCAGAAAGCGTGAATTTAAACACTATGGATGGATTCAGATGTGTGTGTGTGTGTTTTCAAAAGCAACGGAATTTTTAACAAAACTATAAGCAAGATTATCATAAATAGGTGTTTACATGAAATGACTAGCATTTTGATGCAAGGCGTTGAATGTGTGATAAAAAGTCTATCGAAAGAAGCAATATCTTGTGCGTATTTGTAAGAACATGCTTTTGAAATCAGGCGTTTGTGCTGGGCACAGTAGTGGTGTACATGTTAATCAGTTCAGTGTATACAGATGCTAATAAAAAAAAGCTTAAATGTAGTGCAAACGTACTGAGTGAAACCCTTTATGCTTTGTATGTTTCGTTACTAGGAACTCTTTGAAAACAACTTGTCCTGTGTAAAAATTGTGTGATTTTCTGTAAATATTCAGAAAGTTGGGAGTTAGATAACGGTAATCGGGCATATTCTGCGACTTTCAAATCCAGTTCCTCGATAATATGTGTTTTCTACACGTAGCGTTCGTGGAAATTACTGGTAGTTTTTTCCATGTTGTTTCACGAGCCCCCCCCCCCGTAACGTCATGATAAATGTACCCTAGTTACGCCACTGAGGCACGACCATTCGCTCTTTGCACGCTGCCGCTATAATCATGCACAGTCTCGATCTGGCAGCTTTACACAATCAATGAACAGCCGGTTCAGTGATGCACTGATTTTGGGCGTGCTGCGTTGGTCAGTACCATGCGATTGGAAAAAGCGTTTGTGGCGCGATTGTACAAGCTGCCAGTTCGATGACAGTAAAGTTACTTTGATATTGGACATTGGACACTCCCATAGGTTTCTACAGGGTATATCATATTTGTCTTGACATTGGACATTCCCTGTATAATCCTATGTGTTGAGAAAAATCAGACATTCGCTGTGCAAACCTACAAGAATGTCCAATATCAAACTGACGTTACTGCCATGCCAGTTCGAGGCTGGTGGATGCTTCCATATTTATTTGAACAGATAAAGTCAGAGAAAACGTGTTTTCCTTTGAGATACTCTTTAATATCGATTCGTTTTTCAAGCTGAAGTCCATTCAGATAGCTTGAGGAAGGGTAGAAACATTTCATGGAACTGTTACATGCGTGATTACTTGAAATGCTTTGATGTGAAGTTGTATTTTGTTTTAATGTGCACAGGGATTTTTTTAAACTTTCAATATTCATGTTTTAACCTATACATTAGCGCTATGTCGAATCTCTCTGATCTTGAAAATGAAGACTGCAACAAACACAAAACAACCAAAATATTCAATTCATATTCTTTTATTTACAAGTACTTCCAGATGTAAAAACAGGAACATACAATTAAATAGCAAGATGATGTCTTCTTGTTGCAAAATCAAACAAAGTTACTACCTTATCAGTAAAGATAAGGCAACGCAAACAAACGGATATAAACGCTCACCCCTAAGAAATGTACATATTTCAACATTACAAACCTCGCAAAAGTAACAATATTCATTGTTGGTATCATAAAATATAGACACAAAAATTGTCCTGTGATTGAAACAAGCCTTTTTTTGTCTAAGTTACATCTTAAATTTTGAAGTTGCAGAAACAACGGCAATAATAGTGATCACAAACCATAAATCGTAACCAAGCTCGCAGGATGATGCATAAAATTCGCAATACGGTAATGGAAATAGTTTGGTGGGGACGAACCTCACGAATAAGAAGTCCTTCGGACTTTCGACATTACCTTATTTATAAACTTAGAACCTAAACATCAATGAAAAATAATGCATTGGGACCTAAATAATCTTTGTTATAAGCAAAATCTATTAAACAGTGCTTCTATTTTGGAGGTTTGACTGTTTTGAAAGGTAGGTTATTTTACGCCGAACCACCTCTTTTTACCTCAGCTCGAAGATGTTAGTGCTCATGTCGGCTACAGCCGAGTCATGAGTAAGAAAATGCCAGCATATGGAACAGATCGGGAAAGCCATCCCTTCCATTAGGCAAAAGGGCAAGGAAAAGGTAAAGTGTGGACGATGTCTCTGGTTTAAATTCAGGATGGCTCTTCTGGTTTTTTTTTTTTTTTAGTTTCTTCACCGGTCATGTTGTTTAATATCCTCAACACATGAGTGGCTTTACAGAGTTTTGAATGGAAAAAGTCATTGAAAATGCGTTATCAACGTTACACTTCACTTATAAGTCTGGCACATCTATTACATAATACGGTAGCATTTTACTTCCACGGTTCGAATGTCGCCATGTTGGTGGGAAAGCCTCGTTTATTAACAGCGGTGGGTAGTAAGATAGGGTTGCTACGCTGACAGGGCCGGGTGCCGTGCGCACACACTGGCATTCTCGAATGAAAGAAAACAATTTTCATCCTGAAACTTACAGCGCTCTTGAATATCAAAATTAAAATTGTAATTTTGTGCAAAATTGTTATGGAATGAAAAGCATGCTGTGGCGATTAACTGCGTTTCTTGCCACATCCGGAGCAAGATTTAGCTTTAAGAAAACAATCGTTATGTAAAACTGAAAACGTCGAAACAAAAAACAATGAAACCACAAAAATCACAACGTGGCGCGAAAACAGTACATCTATTACATAATACGGTGACATTTTACTTCCACGGTTCGAATGTCGCCATGTTGGTGGGAAAGCCTGGTTTACAGCGGTGGGTAGTAAGATAGGGTTGCTACGCTGACAGGGCCGGGTGCCCTGCACACATACTGGCATTCTTTAATGAAAGAAAACAATTTTCATCCTGAAATTTATTGCGCTCTTGAATATCAAAATTAAAATTGTAATTTTGTGCAAAAATCGTTCTGGAATGAAAAGCATGCTGTGGCGTTTAAGCGCGTTTCTTGCCACATCCGGAGCAAGATTTAGCTTCAAGAAAATAATCGTTATGTAAAACTGAAAACGTCTAAACAAAAAACAATGAAATCACAAAAATTACAACGTGGCACAAAAACAGAACTCGCTGAATGATTTGCTGAAAACGAATGATAACCCACACACAATGACCTATTTAAACACTGCGCATGTATGTGTTCCTCTTGGCAGTGTAAGGAGTGCTGCTTTTCTGAATATAGCGACATCCGCTAAGATGGGGACATGCTTTTCTAACTCACTGTCACTGTCTTTGGCAGAGGGCCATGAGGTAAGATTCAATTTCAAACAGCCAAATTCTGCCTTACTCTAAGCAATAAAAATACACATATATAAATAATGGCACACTATTTCAAACAAGCCGATTTAATTAGTTGGTCTGAGGTATGGACATTAAACAAAAAATGTCCAACACGCATTTTACTCATACAACGATGCTACTGTAGCATCTGACAATGGAGACTATTTGGCATGAAGCATGATACGATGGACGGCATAAACATTGAAAGTCTGCTTTTTTTCAACATGTCTTTCTTCACTGTGCAGTGTGTATTATTGGCAGATTCTGTCATGGCGAGCGATGGCAAGTGATGGCTTTACAAAACGCTGTTGATTTACGTCAGTCATCGTTTTTGCTACCCAATTTCTGGCAAAGCATGGCTGGCCCTCGGTACATTTACAACGATTAAAAAATATTAAAAACTGCCGACACCTATTACTTTAAAAACGTTTAAGCACCAAACTAATACCATGGCAACAGTTGTTTAATACCTAGCTTAAGATGAAGTTTCTGCAAACTCGGACGGTCCGTATTTATAACATGAAGAAGATAGGTCTATTCCCAGGGTTTTAATAACTAATCTAAAAGAAAGCAGCACCGTTGTCGAGACAATCACAGAACCACCAGGAAACAAGACTCCTAACAACGTGACAAAGGATCAAACGATTTCGATGCAGCTCATTTGAATGGCTTGTAACTTGATTTAAGACTGGAGGTCTGGTGATGGTCTTAAGATGGCTTTGCAGGGTGTAACTAGAGCACATACAAGGAAATCCACTACTGAAGTCACCAAAGTGATGGTACATGTATCTCATCGGATTGGTATACATTTCTGTAGAAAACTGAGACATGTACACTTGGACGTCAAGCTCTGCCACGCTTGAACGATCACGTTTAATCTTGTAATCCCATCAGATAGATGGGCAGGCCTACAGTCTTCATTAATGATATGACAGACAACGCCAGGTGCAAGTGTGAATGGCCATTCTTAGAGTAACTAAAGAATAGTTTCAGTTACTCCTGCTTTCTTCATTTCATTTTCTGTGGTATCAAGATAAATCCTTCGAAGTGTTAATTTATTGCATATAATTTCTAACATCAAAGTTTTGTTTACACAAGTCATGGAGAGCAAATCTCACTCCAATTTATCATTTCTTACCTTTGATATTTAAACTTTTAAAACATTAAAATAAGTGTACTGCACAAAATCAGCCTCTTGCGTTGCTGTCAAACTATCTTCAAATAAAATCATGATACGGTCATTTTGTACCTCTGGTGCAGCAGTATTGTGGAATGGAAGTCACCATGATGTAGGTCAATAAAGCGAAAAAAGACAGCCTTTCTGATAAAAACTTCTCCAAACATATACAATGTTTTGTACTTTATTTACAGCATAGTTACTTTCAGATGATGTTTTGTCACTTTTTCAGCCTCTGAAGATTAATTCCCATCTTATCCCTGATGATGTTTCCCATATATAATAAATTGCTATCAATTTGACCAGCACTCTGCCTTGTCCTGAATCAAGTCCCAATAAACCCCCCATTTTTTAGATATGTAATAAATGTTGAGTTATTCTCATAACTCTGTCTTTGCCGCCCCTCAACTCTTCTTCATGGCTTCCTGCTCCTCCCAAGTTTCCCTGAACAAGACGGCAGCCTTGTTGAACTCCTGCTCCTGGTAACGCGGGTCCTCGGTGAACCAGAGAGCAAGAGCACACCGACGGCTAGACAGGACTGCCTTGGCACCGTGGACGTTCTCCTCACCAGCAGAGAAGACCACCAGCCGGCCACACTTGGGCTTTAAATGGGCCTACGGGGGTAGGGGTAGGAGGTAAGGGTGGTTGGTGAGAGGGTGGGGGGTAAAGGAGGACGGGGAAACGAGGTAGAGCTAAGGTGAGAGTAAGGGAAGGGCGAGGGGAAAAAACCAGAAGTACATGTGGGTGTGGGGTGCAAACATGGGGGAATGAAGTAGGGGCAGGAGTAGGCTCAGGGGTAAGGGTAAGGTATGGTAGAGCTAGATTAGGGGTAGAGGTAAAAGAAAGAAGACATTTGTTTACTTCCAAGAAGTATTTCTATTTTGCTCTTTGCTCACCTCAGTCTGAAACTCTCACGGCTTGGTGCAGCAAATGTATTGAGTCTAGTCTCTGGCCAATCTATGCAGATGCCATTCTATTGCTACGCTGAGCTTTAATAGGGGCGATTCACAATAGAGTGCACCATCAAGAGGTTGCCAGAGACAGGCCAACTCTTAAGTTTACGGTCAATAAAAGCAGGACGCCTTGCCACAATTCATATTTCAGTATGAGATTGGGTTATCCCATTCTATACGATAGAAAGAAAGGATGAATTGGAACTGCTGATCGAAATACATGTACAAATCTTCCCTTACAAAGCAGTTCCTGGCGCATAGCCAGCTATGGTAAGTGGGTCATTTCCAGCATAGCGAAAAATGGTCTTTCCTTGACAGCCTCTTGGTGGCTCTGCATTATGAATTAATAGTATTCTAGAGAGCGTGGAAAAAGTATGGCAATATTCAGCAATACAGGCGTTTCACAATAGAGCTCCTCCAAGAGTTTGCAACGCGTTGGCCAATCACAATGCACACAATCTGTCGACCCAATGTGCATTTAAATCCCCTGTATTGCTCAGAATGTCAAATTGGAGGCTGCAATTATGTATTTGCAGAATAACGGTATCTTTGGAGATGTTTGGTCATGGTTGAGAGTCTTGAACCAACAAACGTTGAACGCTTTCACATGTTATGTTCACTACAGCTATGCCACTACCATTTAGAACAGTGACAGCACAGCAGACTGTCAAACCACACTCACAAGATGATTTCAATTTTCAGACAGGGCCGAATTCGGTAAGGCTGCACCCACTGGCTATAGAGTACTGAAGAGTGATGTCATTTGAGCCAGGAAGTGCAGTCAAAACGAATGCCGAACACACGCATATTGGTTCACACGCTGGTTCTCCGGCTAATGTATTTTACACACATAACTACGCATGACGTATTCACATCAGTACTCTGTCATGGCTGCAGTTATTTCACGCAACCGCAGCCAATTAGATGCAACCCCTTTTGTCCTGGAACACCCTCCTAACACATTTCAACACGTACCTGATAGGTCATGTTGGGGTGTGCAAACACGAATTCCCCTCCTTCAAAGTCTTCATTGAGGTAGAGTATGGCGCTCCAGTCCCGCCATGTGTAGGCGGGTGGGGTCTTGTGGCACACGTGGGCATCGTCTAAGCTACAGTTATCTGCATGGATTGGGTGGCTGAGGTCTGTTCTGGAAGGTGTAAAGAATCTGGTCACCAAAGAACAAATGGGGAAGAGTCTTAAGTTCATTTCCTTAAAGAGAGAGTTTCTTTGATATAACATTGCTCTGAAGTACGTGTACCATATGTAACCATAAACTTCAGTTAAAAGGGCCCTCGCTGCACTGAAAACTTCAAAGTTGTGAAGAAAAATGTTTGAATGAAGCTACCATAGTAGTCACTGCAATGGCAAGTAATCACCGATTAACTACATGCCATGTGGTCTTGTAACATGAGCTACATGTTTTCAAATAATCCATGCCAAAGGCATCCCTATAGCTTTGGCAAAATTTATCCNGGTACTCGGCCAACTTTGGCAGCCTTCAGAAAAAAACGCCAAACATTGAAAACAAATTCAGTATATTTTACAAGCATTCGAAAAACATGAATACAAGTCCCCTCTCTGCAGGGCACTGGCATCTTCACGACAAGATGTCTAAAAATAAAACTACTACATGTATGTAAGTTCAAACTATACAGCGCCATCCACAAGTAAGTACCCTTCGGGGTTTGAGGCCTCACACATCCCTTGAAAAAAATAGCTCCCCTTGAAGAATTTCAATAGAATGAAAATGCGTGAGCGTTGAGTAAGAAAGGGGAAGTTCCGAGGAGGGCTGAGAACAATCGTGTGGTTTCGGGTGACGGCAAAACTGCAAGGGTTCACTCAGGCGTGAAGCTGACCTGTACCGCATATACATGTACATCTCTAACCAATCACAATGCATCTAGCCACTGCCCAATTACAGATGCTGTGCACAGCACATGGGAAACAAACGTTGTATGTACATGTATTATATGTTATCTGTGAGTATATGTACATGTACATGTTACTTACAGATTCTTAGTAACGTTTGCAAAAATTGAAAGGTGCAATTTAAGAAGCAGAGCCCAGTGAAAATACATGCATGGCATGTTTTGGACAAAGTACATGTACCAGTATACCAAATTGTAGTTATGACCGTGATTCGTGTGCATGTAGTTTGCATCATGTATGCCTATTTCAAATGTGATGGAAGATAACTCTTCATTTGTTCAATAGAACCGGAGCTTCAATGTAAAGGTGAACCTGAAGATAGAAGACATCTTTAGTTCAGAGAGATTAGAACCGCCAGCTACGGTGAATCACACACAAAACTGAACAGCAGGATATGCATGTAGCTACGCACCTTGACAGCAACTAGGACTGTCATCCCTTCGAAGGATTCATATTTGGTATGAGGGTAGACCTTGCCGCTATAACCATCACCCATCTTTGATTCAATCTACCAAGAAAAGGCACATCAAGTGGAATGATTACTTCCACAAAGAACAGACACAGTCCCTGCTAAACAGTTTCAGTGAACTCTTTTTCATCTTCACACAGAAGCATCTCGGAACTTGGAAAATCCTTTTGCCATCTTGAAAAACCATTTTGAGGAAATGTTACATTTGGACCAGCATGGATTCCCCCCCCCCAAAATGAAAAGTTTACAAATGAAAATCCATGTATTCCCAGTGCAACCAATTTTTTTTTTACTTCAGTACTTTCTGCGAATATTAAGTGTGAACTGCCCCATTTATGACAGCCGGGAATGCATGACTTCTCTCCAAGAACCTTCATCTGAATGTGCACAAATGCTGAGTATATAAAAGCAATGTATATGTACACGCATAGTATCTACGAGCAAGAAACTCGCCCAAGAATGGGTATACAAGTCTCTCAAGAGCCCTCACCGGTTAAATATTGCCATGATGTACACGTACAAATGGGCATGTGGGGAGCCCATGACAAATGGAAGAATAGAGCTTATTTGTGTTCAAGGCTTAAGCACGGCCACATGATGAGGGGATAACAATTGCTAGATTCCAACTTGGGTCAAGTACTGCATGCATCTTGACACTGTTAAAAGAGAATTCTGACGTAGAACAAATTGCATAGATGGGATTGCATCAAGCAGGACAGCGGGAGCTATCCAAGTACCAAATTCCAAATACACATCACATTAACTTTGGGTTGGAGACCTGTTTTCCATGCAGCTTTTTCCCTGTGCACATTACATGAGTGCTCAACAGCAACTCAACACGAATGCGTCTGATCACCTGTCCCTGCTTACACTGACACCGACCTGTGAGGGCCTGTCAGCATGGAATCCTCTGCTAATAGTCTTCCCTACCACTCCCTCAGAGTAGAATTTTTTGCTAACAGCTGAGGACTATCGCAAGAAGACTCTGCAAAGAATGGAATGAAAGTGGTCCCCATCTCACTTAAATTTAGCAGTGCTACTCATTAAGTTCACATTACTTACATCCATTAGCTTGATCAAATTATCGCATTCTATCTGTGTTGCCAGTTTGTCTGCAGCCATGCGTTTTGTCCCGTTCAGCATGGCAGCGTTCATGTACAGCTTTACGCCGTCCAGTGATGGCACGTAACTTGGCTCCTCGATCACCTGCTCATTGTCAAAATCTTCTATGTAGCGTCGCCCCTGTATGGACGGCCCCGCCCGCGGTGGACCACTGGGAAATAAATCCTGTTTTGACAAGGACTTCTTTAGACCCTCCAGTGCTGATATCCCTTCCATCACATCATCTGCTTCATTCCTGGACCCATCTGTCCTCTGGGTTGGAACTTCCGGCCGTTTCTCGGCCTTACTATCATCCTTAATGCTTGGCCACTTGATGCCGCTGTCGTCAACATGGTAACCCAAATTGGGATCAACAAAATCATCCTTCTTCATTTTGCTTCTCGGGCCGAATTTTTCAGAATTTGAAGTTCTCTCCTTGTCTTCATCAGATGCTGCCATCTCGTTTGCATCCAAGAAATGATCTCTAGTCCTTTCTTCGTCTTCTTCATCATCTTCTCCATAAAGAACTCCTGGCTCTGGAGAGTACTCCTTCACAGGCTCGTCTCCAAAGTCATCCTCGTCCATCAGAACAAATTCATCCTCTGGCCAAATCTCTTCCGGCTTCTCAAAATAGTACTCTGGGAAGTGTTCCACATCCACCTCCTCCTCTTCCTCGTCTGTGTAATCGGCCCAGATTTCCTCGGGTGGGGTCATGACCTCTTCTGGGTCGTCGGCATGGTTTTCAGCAAAGCTCTGGCCAGTTTGGAGGGCTTCCAGGATCTCCGCACCCAGGAGGACCTCGTCTGGGTTAATAGGCTCTGCCTGGTCTTGGTAGAGCATTGCCTGAGCTGTGCTCCGGTAATGCTCCTCTAAATACTGTGAAGAGGAAAGACAGAAATCTCACTCTAGTAAACCGAAAAGGTGATTTAATTTATTTGGTTACTTTCAAAAATCACTACCAGACTTTCTCCTCTACATGTGTATCATAACAAATGGAAAACTGCATCTTAAAAAAAATCCTTGAGCATCCAATGTAAATCAATTTCATACATGTATGTTAAAGAATTAAAAATTTTACCCACCACTAAGAACGACAGTTTAAAATAGCACAATAGGAGTTAGAAATATTCTTAACACCTTTCAACATTATACAACAGAAAGCAGTCCTGCAGATGTCATGAAAACGATGTGGATCCCAAGATCCCCAATCATGCAAACTCGATTATTTAATCATACATGTAATTTTATGATTCATAAATTAATCCTTTATGAGGGTATAGCTACAGAGGCAAATCCACAGTTCCATACAAAACTAACAACTGTTCTCAATATCACTGTAGTCATTAGGGAAATTTTGAATTTTGCATCTCAAGTTTAAATGATTCTGTCTTGAGTTAGAAATTTGAGCAACACCACCAGTTTCCTGTGCTTGAAAAAAGACTACAATGTAACTACATGTACATATATCTGCTTTGTATGGTGTGAGATATGCCCCCACTGCTATCACTGGTCCCCTGCATTTGAAGCTGGATACGAAGAAAATTGCAAAGTGAAAGAGCCTCCATTCAAATGTGAGTGAGCTTCACGAATGTAGAAATATATGCAAAGATTTTTATTTTCTCTATGAGCACTGTGACTGCTCAGATACATTTCCTTCTGTTAATGAATTTTTAACTTTGAACTTTGCAAGAATATTTGAGATGTCAGGCCTTGATTGGTCCTTTGCTGTATTATGTGCATTTCACCAGCCAATGAAATTGCAGGTTCAAAACGCATGCCAAAACAGCAGATACTCCAAGTGAATGCACAACATCACATTTTGTAATTTTCTTTCTTTATATCCAACAAATGTCAGAGTCTTATTCTATTCAAACAATTACAAACCCTGCAATTCCAATTTTCTTAATTTCAAGTCCAGAGAAATACAAATTGTGGGAAACACACTTACACCCAAATGCGAGACTCCTCCAAATCACATGATCAGCCACGAGTAGGTCAAAGGTGAATCGATGACCTATCATTTCCATATGACCTGCTTCTAAAGCATGATTCTAGATAATTAGAGCTACAAGTAAGAAACCTCCACATTTAATTTTTTTTAGTTCCTTTTTGTCAATATGATATAAGGTAAAATCCTGTTTTGGTATTATATTTTTCCTAGGTGACCCATTTCTTAACTTACAAAATAATAAAAAAAAGAACCAGCCGATGGAATTTATTCTTTGCTGACCAGATCCTGTATGGTACCCAGCTTAACCAAGCAAAAAAAGGAATTTGTTCTTAGTGATGACAGACACGTATATGTAGCATTTTATCCACAATGAGATATCAGAGGTTCACCAGTCCAAAATCTCTCTCCCACTAATTTGCTACCCAAAATATTGGAGGTCTTTTGGTACATGCTTTGTTCTTTCTTTGTGTTTTGTTTGGGGCTATGCTGCAAACCCATTAAGTAATTAATTAAAAGAAGCCTGTTTGAAAACAATAAATATCAGTTACAGAAACAAGCCACATTTTCAACAAAACTAAACAGGCGTAGCTTTATTTGGCAATATTGTTCAGACACTTTTCATTTAAAACTACAAACTACAAAACGTCCAAGCTAAAAGATTCTAATCTCCATTTCTTTACTTTGAAGTTTTCCTTTCAAAAATGGCAGTATTCCAGCTTTTTGGTACATGTATATTTGTAAATGCATACGCATGTGCATGTAGATGAATGGACACTCTTTCACAATGTTCTTGATCTCTGCCAGTCAACCCATGTCCATGTAACAGTGAAACATCACTTCAAGGAACCAACTGAAAATCTGAACGTAAATTTTGCTCTGACAGCAAGCACTGGTCTCAATACCACTGACTGCAATGTACATGTATACACATAATGGACGCTACAGCAAGGAACAGTGGGCTTTGTCCAAATGATTCAACAACATGTACGGTTGGAAACAACCCTGGCATCTACAGAGGGAATGCTCCACCCTTCAGTTGCAACTCCAGAAATGCAACCCCAAAGTGATGTTTATTTTCTTCAAAAATGGTTGTCAGAAATTGATGCTTTTGGTATCAAAAACTTTGAAGCTTACAGCAGAACATTCAATTTGTTCACCTACATGTACTTCTACATGTATGTACTGGTGCCCGTTCCTGCACCATGCAACAAAGGAAAAGGTGGACGCATGTACCCGCACTAGCCAAGACTGGAATACATTGAGCACTCCTCAAAGAAGAATCAACCGGCAAGACAAGAAGTACACAGTAGCTGCAAGGAATATGAACTTAAAAGAAACTTATACAATACTGAGCTGGCTGAGAATACATTTGTACATGTAACTTTAGCAAAACACCATCTTGATAAACCTTTTGGGAGCCGGGGTTGAAAGATTCCCCCAACAAATGACACCGAAACATTTTTTGTTTCAAGGCTATAAAAAAATTAAATTAAAGGAACTGAACTGGAATGGTATTTCGAAGCCTTCAAGGAAAAAACCCTGTCTTAAGAACATGCACTGGTACATGTAAGTACAGAACAAAATTCCTGGTTTTCAATGCATGCGCATGTACTGTACTTGTCCAATAGATTCTAATGTCAACATGCACTGATTCCGGCATACTGTTTTTTACAGGTCAAAGTTAACAATTGTATGCGTGTTGTGAAATTCTGTCCCTACTTTACATACACACATAACTTTGAGTTGTCAAAGACGGCAGACATTATTAAAAACATACTGGTACCTACATGAACAGGGGCCAATTTCACAGTGCTGCTTGTAAGCGAAAAATTTGTTTAAGCATGAAAAACCTTGCTTGATGTATATGTACATTGTATTTACCTGTCTTTTGGTTAGCATGACAATCACAAGTGTGAGCTGGTGACCTTTGTTTATTAAGCAAGATTTTTCGTGCTTAAGCAAATTCTACGTTTAAGCAGCTCTATGAAATTGGCCCCAGGTAAATGTAGCTGTACTGTAATTCAAAAGTATCAAAATCTGGGTTTCCAACTGGCTGACAAGGTCAAATGAATGCCCGACTCCTATCGGTACATGTACGTAGACTGACAGACTTACATATATATGTAATCTATGACATCGCCACATAAGATCAAATGCTTATACATGTATAAGCAGGGTCTCAAGAAACCAACATGTGCATGTACATGTATGGGTCTTTGTAAAATGTACATGTACATGTATATAGAAAAGTACATACATGTACATGTACATGTACAAGCACATGCAAGTACTTTTATTCTAAACAAGAACTCAGTTCCCTTTGAACAGGGTGCTAGTATGAACAATCTGATTGGCTAGAACTTCTCTACAAACTGTTCACATGTACATGTACTTGTTGCTAACCAAATTACTATAGTGTATGAACTACATGTAGGGTAATCTACATTACATTCCGGTACCTCAAAGACAAACCATAGAAAGATACATCTACCTTAATGTTCTACACACAAGTAATAATACATGAGGCACATGTACATGTACACTGTAGGAGCAGCTTGTCTACAAGAATACATGAACATGTACTTTCAGACATCTTGTGGCATTACATTTGGTTATGTTTCCAGGCTTTGTTTTTTAGGGGGGAGAGCCTCGGGGGAGGGGACTATCAGGGCAAACATGGAACCAGTCTTTTTTTTCCTTTTTAAATAGGACTGGATTTTCTTTATTCTTTGGTCTTTGGGTCCGCAGACAGGGGGAAGTACCTCTAAAACATAATAAAAAAGAACATTTCTGGGTAATGTCCTCAGACCCGCTATTCAGAAAAATCCTGGAAATGGATTTGTAAAAAGAATCTTGAAATCAGAGTTTTTTGGTTTTTTCCTTCTTCCTCTTTCAAATGTGACAATTATTTTGAGGAACTCAAAACACAAAAGTTATTGTTTACGTTTATTTTCCCTCCACTTCAAGTGTTTCTGATGAAAAGCTCAAGGACTGAGGAATAAATAAAGTCTAGCCTGATACGAGAAAAGCTCTTTTGTTTGGTCCATTCCATTTTGTTGTCCTTTTCCATCCCGAAGCATTTAAAAAAGCCTCAAAACATAGCACAACCCTTCATGAAAAAACATTTGCACATTTTAACCCCCTCCCCCAAAAGAAAACAAATTTGCCTCCCCCCTGGAAATTTGATGTGATGTAGTCAAGTACTTTCTGAGAACCAAGTTCTCTACCAAATATTTAACTAGTTAGGAGGGAACAAAGCTGAAGTATACCGGCATTTGATGCCGATACAAAGCAACATAATGACTTCAGACAATCACTGTTTGATTAAAATTAACTTTTTAGGCCAAAAGTACTCGGTCGAGTACTTTCCGAGTACTTTTCTACTTAAAACTTAAATTTTACACAACTGGAAGTGTCTGAAGTCTAACATTTATTTTGTAATCTTACCTTGCACATTTACCATCAAATGCCTGTGCACTCTGGCTTTATTCCCTCTTACCCAGTTCAGTATTTTGCGGAAAACGTTGTTACTCGGAAAGTACTCGACTACAACACTGGAAATTTGGTTCTCGACCCACCCTTGCTCATAGGTTTGGTCCCCAAGAGTGGTCCACTAGTGTGACTTACCGTAAATGGACGGTAATACTGTTCAGTATACGGTTCCTGGTTTATGGTGAGCAACTACAGGGCAACTGGAAAGGGACCTACAAGTGCTCTGCCACTTCATGCTATAAAACTATCCGTTGTACATGTACACAGGCAAATTTAAATAAACTGGATGAAAACAGTCATTGAACGGCAAGATAACTGGCAAAAATATATTTTACTTTAAAGTACAAAACATTTCCGAGCAAGTGGTATTTGCATAGTACTTCTTGAGAGCTGTTTCCACTCTAAAATTCACACAAAATTCAATACTTACAATTATTTTTCTCTAAAGTTACACTAAACTAAATTTTGTTTTGAATTGAACCACGGGATAAGGACTTCTGCACAATGAGGGCTCATCTACCATCTCAGTCTGGAGGTTGACCTGTTGTGTTAGCACCCTTGATATTTTTAAACCTTGCATAATAAGACCTACTTTTGCCAGCTGTTCCAATGATCTCTCCCTCATTTCTGCAATAGCCAACCCCAACCCAATTTGTAACAATTTCACAAACTAAGGCAGCAACTGATTCAATCTCTCCCTGGTTACCAAC